AACTTTAGGTACCAAGCAAAAGTTTTCCTCTATAACCAGACTAAGCATTCAGCCTGCTAGGCAGAATGAACTCCACTCTCCTCCTCCTGCGTATTGTTCTGTGTTTTCTTCCAACTCCCCAGTCACTTGCAGGGGGGTATAGGAGGAGGAGGGGAGTCCCACTGCAGAAGTGGAAGTCCTTGCACAGGGCTTTAGCTGATAGGACTCATTAGATTAAGGTTACCAGATTTTTTTCAATGAATCCGGGGACACTTTTCAACTTCAATGGATTTTGTATGGGGACTGGTTTGTAAATCCAGGGACTGTCCCCGGGAAACTGGGACGTCTGGTAACCTTACATTAGATGAACCCTGCCCTTTGTATCTCATTCTTTCTCAGGATGATATACACTGTGCTTATTCTATTCTATCTAGTCTTGTGCTGAGGGTTAGGCTTTGCAGTAGTGGCTGGCTTCATGTATGGCCACCTAGCAACTTTCACTGTTGACAAGGAAATGAACAGAGACCTCTTCAGTCTGACTATTCATCTGGGCCACTTACTATTCAAAACAAATTGTTCCCCTGGAAGCAATTATTGCTAGGTCCATTATTGTTTGAAATATATGCCTCTGATGTTTTGTGTGCACATCTGAAGCGTGAATCCAGCAATGTTTGCACACACAAGTACACTGGCTAATGTGGAAAACTGACTGACTGAGTGCACATTCATGGATTTGTTTCTCTGTAAGATGTGATGTGATCCCTAGGTATCCTTAATAAATAGGAACCATGCAAATTGCTATTACCCTGTATACAATGTGTCAGTTCTACATTATGCAATAAACATTTCCTTTTCTTGTAAAATTATATAGTCATCTGAATCAATTCAACATTAAAAAGACGAAAATCTGTTGTATGTCATTTTGCTGTCACCAATTATAAGTAAGTAGTTGAACAAAGCAAAACTATAGCTCTGTGGCTTTTCTGTGGGTTCCAGGTAAGTGCTTCTGATTCAGCTTCTCCTATCTGCTTGATTTGTTCCTATTTTTATTGGCTGTCTTCCACAGAGACTACCTGACCTCAACTCCTGCCTCATTCTTACTGGTTTTCCAGACTCAACTTGGCTCCTTGACCAGTAGACTGTTTGTACATGTCAGCCCCTAACAAGTTCCTGTTCTCCTGGATCATGTTCTGAGTATATTTAAATCTAAATTTAATTTAGCTCCTCAGTCTGAGACAAAAATGTGATACAGTTGCAATTTAGGCAAATGACGTTTGCATGAATAACACCAGTGTATGCAGCACCAAGGAAATAATTCTGCTGCTGTCAGGGGCTCAGGAGCAGAGGCACAGGGGAGAGAGGAAATGGAGAGCGAAGGGGAAGAATCTGAGGGCAGCGTAGGGGAGTATGACAGTGACCCGAGAGATTCCATGAGCTTCTCCAGCGAATCAGAAGATTCCCAGAAGGGGGCGCCGATGGTCAGGGCAAGGGGGGTCCCAGGGGGGACGCACCAGAAACAAGGGGCCATCGGGGACTCCCAAAGCAGCAGCGGGAGATCAGGACCAGCTTCCCCACCAGAGCGTAGTGGGGGGGAAGAGTCCCATGTGTCAGGGCCAGCGTCTCCTCCAGCAGGGAGAGAAGATGAGTCAGGGCTGACCACGCCTCTATCGGAGAGTGGGGGAACGGAGGGGAGGTCAGGTCCAGCTAGCCTCCCCGAAGGGGGAAGCAGTGACAGGAGCAGTGTAACGGTCAGGAGGAAGGTTGCCGGCTGGGCGCGCACGCCAAGTTCGAATGTACAGGCGCGCGGGACAGCAGAAAACCCGGATTGGGAACCAGGTCCTAAAGCCCGCCGGAGGCAGGGGGAAGACTCAGGGGACTCAGCGTCAGAAGAGTCTAGGAAGGGCAAGACACCAGCGGACAGGCGGAACCAGAGGATGAAAGAGCAAAGGAAGAGGTGGAGCAAGGCTAGAGTCTTAAACTGGTGTCTGGGGGGAGGAGATTCAGACGGAGCTTCAGCGGTCTAGAGTTTGAGACGTAGAGCTGCGCGCTGCGGCTGTGAAAGTGAAACTGAACTTCAATAAAGACTTTTGTATATAACAACGAACTGGCGTTGGTCCTTTGTGAGCTGGGACCTCGGGCAGCTCTGACAGCTGCTCTATTTACCACAGGTTACACCTGCTAACATACCATGTCCAGCTTAGATCACCACATAATAAACAGGATAAGAGTAAGTTAGAATAATTCAGAGGAGACCAAGAATATAAAACTGGCATAGAAACTATGAACAATTGAGAAAGATAAGGGGCTTTCTCATACATCAGATTTGGATTGCCTTTGAACCTCTCTCACTCAGTTTATGATAACATCTGTTGTTTGTATATCAGAGGAGAACCACTGCCGGTCAATGCCAAAAAAGTGAATCATTTGAACCCATGGTTCAAGGTAGCTTCCTATGTTCCTAGGAGGAATGAAAGAGGCATTTGTAATGCAAATAAGCATTCTTGCCAATGTAGGCTTTATAGTCATATCACAAACTCAACTGAAACAACAGTTCCTTTATGACTCCTACATGATAATGCCCTAAGGGTACAAATACAGAGCTACAAATACCTAAAGGGATGACGAAAAGGTATGAAGCATTAAGATTTTTTTCCTAACTGCTGCTCAGTGGAAGAGATTGTCCAGAAACATTATGAAATCTTATTTCCTGGAGGTTTTAATAAAAGACAGGGTAGTGTTCATCAGCCCTGTGCAGATATAATGCTCTGAATTCCTTAACCATGATTCAGCAGTTAGGAGCAGGTTGTGGGATCACACACAGACAATGGGTTTTATCCTGACATTTCTTCAGAGGGATCTGGAATCTGATATAAGTATATCAAGGCCAACCATGTTTCCCTCAGTTCCAACTGGGTAATGTATACCATGGTCTCTTTGAATCCACTTGTGTGGTGGCTGGTATCTGAAGTGCTGGAACACCTACTGAATGATCCAGATGTCTTGCCTATGTCACAAGCGCATGAAACAAATTTGCCTGAAACTTTTATACTCCTATTTTTATATATAGATGCAAATTTAGACTGCCTTTCAGAGGGGAGAAAACAAAGAATGGCTCTTGCTTGTATGGCATGCTAACAGGATTTTCTGGACCCAGTGCACTGTAAGTGGATTGAGTCCTCCACCCCCAGTCAGTTGGCAAGAACTGCATCATATGTATGGATTGCAACTGAAGCAAGTCCTGTACAACATGACACTCCTCCTCTCCCCCCACCTCTTTCACCACCACCCCTTTGCCACCCTATCCAGCTGTTCTAGCTTAGGCAGTGGTTCTGGCCAGCGACAAGGTTCTAGTGGTGTATGTGTGCTAAGCACAGAGTCCAGAGACACCATATGACCTTATGCTAGTATCAATTAAGAATCCAGGAAGCAAAGTCAGATCAAGAAAAGTCAAGTGCCATCAAGGCATGGTCAGACAAAGCAGAGAGTAGGTTCCAATAAGTGAGATCAAGCAAAGCAGAGGTTATGATCTAAAGGAAAACAAGCAAGGTGGGTAGCACTCTGGATAGCTCCAGAGAGTGCCTAGGCTGGAAGTCATACAAAGTAGACTTGAATACTGCTCCAACAACCAGCAAACCCACGCTGAGTCTCAAACAGGACTACAGCTTCCTCTGAGGAGCTAATCCCACCCATTATTAGTGAAGTGCCTTATTCTTAAATGGCCCAGCCTGTTGTAGAAGCTACTGACTCCAACAGTTTGGTGGAGGCTGGGCTTCCACCATGATTTCTGAGCTGGAGTCCTCAGAGTCTGAAGAAGGCAATATGATCTCTTCAGGCTGGAGAGGTATTGGTATCAAGGGGCCTTTTGGTGCTGAGACCTCTGAGGAAGCAATGACAGCAAAGACTAGTTCAGGGGGCAAATCTTCCTCCCAGTCCAAGTTGTCCTCTGAATCCCCAGCAACTTCCCTCAACGATAGGGACTCAGAGCCCTGGGTTATGATACCAGCAATTATCTGGGCAAATTAAGATGGGGGGGGATCTGTTGTGGGTCTCATCGACACTATGCTTTGCAATGTGCTCAGCCACCCTTTAAGCACAGAGTTGTTTTAAAAAGAGGGGAGAGACAGGAGATCCAGGAACTGGTTTGCCACCCCCTAACAGCAGCCCTGCTGATTCCCCTGTAAGGACTAAGCCAGCTGTTCGCTTAAGAAAAACTTTGCAGCCTGCTATCATGGATCTACAGTTTTAGGTTTACTAATTCACGTGTTTCACAAACACAGTCAAGCACATTCTGCTTATATAAAGTAGAACCACAATACTAAACATCTGGGCATAGCATAATTTATACATTCAAGTTGACTTTGGGCCACAAGAAATTAGCTCTGTAGCATTTCTCAACACAAAGAGCATTTCTTGAACGACTGTTAAGATTTGAGCATTACAATACTAAATTACTCCTAAACCCCAACAGGAATCTCACGCCACCACTCACGGAAGAACTAAATTGCAGGAATTCACAGTTACAATTATTCACCCCTTTCCTTCCTCCTCGCAGAGAAAGGAGTACAGCTGTGTACCTTGCAAGACCATCCTTATCTCATCCCCTTTGCTTGCTCCTCTTCCCACCAGTCCAAGAGATGTGCATGTTAGGCATCCACTACTTCTCCTTCCCCTGGCAACTAGATATCAAACCTGCAACCACCCAGAATTCCAGATGTGTGCCATGGAGGCTCTCAGGTGAGTTTACTTTAGAGTTCCCCCTAACGATTCGCCATAAGCAGTACAACACCCCCAATCTTCACATTCCCATAACTGCTTTCCAGGACAAGCAATCTAATCTGACACTTTCTGTTGTTTATAACCCTAATTTGAAATATATTACTTGAAAATTAGGTCTATGGAAATCTGTGGGATATATTAGCATTTAAAATCAATGTACTAAGAATTGAACTGATTCTTATTATGCCACTTACTAAAACATTTCAAAGTAAGAGGAGAAAAAAGAAGCAAGACCAAAATATTACTGTTGTAGCTCTTCCTCTGTCAGTTCTTCTTGCCTTTGTTCCCCAGTCACCATGGCCAGTTCATTTCTTAGGTCCTGAACTTCCTTCTTTAGTCGTGCTATTATCTGCAACAATGAAACAGGTGCCACTTATTGGCTGAATTTAAAGTTATGATTAAGAACTTTGTTGGGAATCCTCTCTCATCTTGTATAATTTTTCATGCTTTTATTTTGTCAAACATGAAGTGGATGACAGACTGAACCTTTCAAAACTGCACTGATTTCTTAAATTAATTTGAATTCCTGAAAAATGCTAGGTATAAATAACAACCAAAATTCCTTACCAGTCTGGGGTCAATTTCTTCATTTAGAATGGCTTCATTCTTAATAAGGGCAACTCGCTGAGCAAATCTACAAGTCGATATTGATTCCTAAATGTAAAAAAAATCTTCTTAACATGCAATTATGGACAAGTAAGTGTGCTATATAATTAATAAACTAAATCAGCAATCTTTAAAACCAGGCTTCCTCAAACTCGGCCCTCCAGATGTTTTTGGCCTTCAGTTCCCTTGATCCCTAGCTAGCAGGACCAGTCATCAGGGATGATGGGAATTGTAGTCTCAAAACATCTGGAGAGCTGAGTTTGAGGACGCCTGTTTAAAACAGACAACAGTCTTCAAATTCAATGTTCACAGAATAGCAGCAAAATAAACACTTGAAGTTCTCCAGTCTCTGAAATCCAAACTGAAGATGGAACTAAATAGTGTCAAACAGATTTGGCAAAATGCAGCAGGAGAAACCAATACAAGTGATTTCCAGCATCTGCGTCTGCACAGACGCGATTTCCGGTGCCGCGGAAGTGAGTCCCCGTGCCACACTGCACCAGTTTAGCGCAGTGCATGGGGACTCGCCAAGCAGGCAGCTTTGTTCGGGGGTGGCTTGTGGGCCGGTTAAATGACCCCCGTGGGCTGCTTGTGGCCCATGGGCCTTAGGTTGCCTACCCCTGCCCTAAGTCATTGTATGGCTTAGTGTTGCATGAGAACCAGCTTAATATAGGGTTCAAAATATAGGGTTTACGAACTACTCTGGCAGTGTTGCATCACTTCGCAAACTAGGGTTTAGGGTAGAAATTAAATGGATAAATTTAAAATACTAACTCTTGGACAGCAAATTATAATAAAAACTGAGAGGACATACATCTATGTTCCTTTTGTCTATTGAGAGCGTGGCAATCATTGTGGTCATACAGTTCCCTCCTAGGCTGTCTCTTAGCACCGAGGTCATCATAGAATTCCTGTAGGGAATATGAGACCTATTCTTCTCCGACAGAGCAATGATTACCTGCAATAAGAACAGAAATGGAAACTCTTAGAACTCTGGTTTTGCTCTTGAATATTTGGACAAGTCACTCTAATACTGGAAACGCTTACTTTAAAACTGAGAATTTTACCGACTATAACAGTGGCATACATTAGCAAATGTCAGACACTTTGGCTCATCAAGACTCACTCCAGTAGTGGATCAGCATAGAAACCATTACAGTGGTACCATCTGTGACACTGTTAATTTATTAGTTTTTTTTACCCTTCATTTTGGCACCAAAGGAGCAGCCCAGGCCTACAGATTAAACAATAGCATTAGTATACCAGCCAAAGAAAAACCCTGAACTTTCCTGCAGTGACTCCTTGTAAAGTCACAGAAATGGCACAGGATAGACCAGGAGCTGCCAGTGTGGTGCCTTCCATATGTTGCTGGCTTTCTATTCCAATAATTCCTGGTCATTGGTCACACTTGTTGGGGCTAATTGAAGATGAAGTCCAACAATATCTGGGGGGCATCATACTGGCTATCCCTTGGCTAGATCACGGAACTGCTAGAGCTTTGAAGCATTGCCCATTTCTTCCTTGCTTCGGCCAACATTTTTTGTTTCAATTGCCTCAGTGAATGAGCGGGATAAGTTCCCTCTGAATGGTGCATGAACCGATTTCTAATCCCCCCCCCTTTGTAGCCTCTGTGTAGTCCTACAGAATGGACATGGTGCTGTTACCCAACAGTAGAATCTCCAGGACTGGGAAATACTTTGCACTACTGCCTTGCTCATATCAGATCCTTTCCCCACAACATGCACTGTATAATGTTTGACAAAGGTTAGTAGAGAGGACTACATAGAAACTGGTGGACATCTGGCATTAAGACCCTTTTATCTAATGCTACTGAAGATGCTTGAGCACATGGAATTGTAGAAAACACTTGGATTTGCAAATGACATTGTCACCTCATGGCTGGATAACAGAAACAGGCTGTAGTTATGATCCACCAAGAAACTGTCCAAGAAAAAGCAGGGAGTCCTTGTTTTCTACTGCAAAGCAGTATTTAATTAAGAGGTGTATTGTAAATCAAAATTAAGAGCACTTTTAATATTCAATAAGCACAAAATATGCTGTTTCAAGATTACACTTAGTGATTTCAAAGTTCAGTTTTAAGCAGGTTATAGCATTTATCTTCAAGTCACTGTTAAGTGCCAAATCTTAACTCATCGATCAAAGGAGGTACTTAAAATGCGCTATAAACTGCAACCATCAACATCAGTTTTTTATCTGGTTTGATCTTCAGTTTCTTTGCCTTCACCTTGGTCCATCACACACTCCAGACACTACACTTATGTTGCAGCTGTCTAAAAATGAGATATGCTGGTAGAATCATTAGGCTTGGGGATGTTTATTCAACATGTGGTTAGTCCAAAAGCAACAATTTGGCTACAGAAGGCAAAGTAAACTTTTTGCAAAGATTTCTCAGTTATAGTAAATCTAAATGTTCTACTTTAAATTCCCATATGCCGAAGGGGGAAAAGGTGTTAGGCACACAGTTAAACAAAGTACATTGTCCAATTCTTTCAGTTCTGACAACTTTTCTCCTTGAATGTCTGACATATACTCAGTTTCTGTGGCTTACAAATATGTTAAAGAAACTTTCAGGGAGAGAACACTGTGTTTATGAGCACTCCAAAATCAACAAAAGCCTTCCATTGCTATTAGTATTCACAGGGCTATGAAACAATACTCCATAGTGAAATCTGTAAAAAAACAAAAAACTGTAGTCTGGCAGGTGTGATGCTTTTCTCTTTTAGCAGAACACTAGGGCTAATGGATAATGTTTTTGAAATTATTTTAATACAGTAGCAATAAAGTCACAGTAGTAATAATTTATCCACAGGTTATTAATACAACACTCATGTGCTTCTAGGTAGAGATCCTAGAGTTGAAGACCAAAGAAAAAGTGTAAAGAGTATCATAATGGGGAAGGATTAGTACAGTGGTACCTTGGTTTACAAACGTAATCCGTTCTGGAAGTCTGTTCTTAAACCAAGGCGTTCTTAAACCAAGGCATGCTTTCCCATAGCAGTGGGAGACTCAATTTACAAATGGAACACACTCAACATGTTCTGCTTCCAAGGCAAAGTTCACAAACCAAAACACCTACTTCCGGGTTTGCAGTGTTCCAAGTTGTTCATAAACTAAGCTGTTCTTAAACCAAGGTACCACTGTAGTAAACATGTGAAATGCTAAGGCAGAAAAGTGTATATATTGGTTGTATAATTCAATAGCTGGGATAAAATCCACGATGGCTTTGTTAGGCTTTCCATGAAATACACCTGCCTTTCTTTGGTCACGGAACACAAAACATTACTACATACTGCATTTCAACAGCTGCCATTGAAATTGTGTTTAAGAAGGAAGTTCTATTAAAAGGTACAGTGCAGTAAAATGGCATAAGGAAAATTACGTTCTCCATGCTATTACCTCAAATAAACTACGCTGGGAGACATTATACTCCTTCTCTGAATCAAATGATTAGCCATAATGCCAAGTGAAATGGAACATGAACATTCTAAAAGCAAACTACTACAACAAACTAATAGCAAAATGAAGAACTGACGTCAACCATACCTGTTCCAAGTAATGTAATGACAGATTGATATATTTGGCTTCTGTCAGCAACTGGCCTCCAACTCCAGTCTTTGCAACACGCTCTGAACCAGCCAGATCCACTAAATGTAGTTTGGAGCGTCGAATGGTTGCAGAACCTGGCTCTTTGCTTGAGATGTGAATGGTGAAAATACAATGTGAACGAGTGGAGGCTTGATTCATTGGAGTCTGTGAGACAAAGAATTTAATAAAACTCAGCTGCAGCCAACTGAAATGCTTACAAAGTAAGGGGGAGAGATATCTCCTGATCATATATAAAATATAAATGTGACTAAGTTAAAAACGCAGGTCAAGAAGACATTATGAACACAGAAATCTGTTGGATCAGACCCAAGTTCCATCAAGTCTAGCTTTCCCACAGTGACTAGCTAGAGGTTCCCAAGAGACAAGACGGGCATGAATGCAATAACTCCCCCCAATGCTCTCATCCCCAGCACCTAGAATTCAGTCCATACTGTCATTGTATATGGTGGTGAGGAGTCTGTTTATCTATCATGTTTAATACCTCTCTCTTGATAAAACCTGTCTTTCATGAATTTGCCTAATTCCCTTCTAAAAACTGTATATGCTAGCAGCCATAGATCCAGTCTAAGTCCCACTCCCTTCTGTTAATGCTTACTTTAGCCCACAAAAAAATGTCTCTGCAGCACTTCTCAGAACTCCCTTCTGTTCTGCCCTCCCCTCCATAATGCCCCTTCTTCAGGACTTAGAGCAGTTTAAAATGCCCAGGGTTAGCTCAGCCAGCTGGGTCACACCGAGACAGAATGGGGAAGATATGACAGCATAGCCTGACTGAACCAGGAACCAAGAGTGGAGGAAGGGGGATGTGGTGGGGGCGGTCGACCCCGGGTGTCACCACTGAGGGGGGGTGACAAAATGCCTGGCAGCACTCACCGCGGGGCCTGCAGCACGCCTGAGCCATGCGTCTCTCCTGGGAGTCATGTGGTGGCTTGGGCACCTGCAGGCTCCATGCTGCCCCAAACAGTCCGTCTGCCACCTCCCCCTCAGCTGTAGGGCCGCTGAGTGGGAGGAGGCAGGCAGACTCCTCGGAGGACCCACGGAGTGTCTTGCCCCGGCTTGCCCTGCCCTGTGGGAGGCTGGCTCCGTCCCTGGGAGCAGGGCATGCGCACCGCCCCAGGCACCCAATCGGCTTGCTCCACCACTGCCAGGAACTTCTTGACTCAGGCAGAGATCCACTGGATCCTTACCCCACTCATCCCAGCAGATCTTGCTACATGGGAAATTTACTTGTCTTCAGCCTTGTACAGTTTTGACACAATCTCATTGCCGGTGCATGAAATGTGCAAATAAATGCAATCATGCAGATATTATTTATTTATTTAATTAATTTATATGCCACCCTTCTTCCGAAGATCACAAGGTGGTTTACGGTATTAAAAAATGAAGACTCAAAATACATACCAAGAACAACAAGAAAACCAATAACCCTCTCCCACAAACATCTTTAAAAGGCCAGAGATAGTTTAATCAGCCAAAGGCCTGGTTATAAACGGACATTTTTGCCTAGCGCCTGGTAAGCTATGGTGTTATAGATGTCTCAAACTTATACTGGCCAGTGGTAAATTGCATACATGTACTGCATACATTTCATGAGTGAAGTATTCTGGCTTACAGAATTTTTATTCCTAGTAGAATTACTTATGTCAGAAAGACTAGAACTCAGCTTCCTAAAATGCCTAGGCCACAAGTAGTTTTTTCCATCACCACACCCTTTCTACTATATGCCATAGAAATCACTGTAAGAAAGCAAGTTGGTTTTTTAAAAAAATTAACAATCCTTAAATTATATTAACAAGATTTAACTTGATGCTTTGCCTTATCATTTACTGTCTATTCCATGAGGCAGTTCCAGTAGACAGATTTCATCAAAAGAGAAAATTCCAAAATCGTATGTAAGCCAATAACATCATAAACTATTAATCAGATGCAATGATGGAACATTAACGTAACTGTAATGTACTGGTAGTTCTACACCTTTGGCTTTTTTTGCTAAAGTACATACATAGATAACTTGGCACAAAGTAACAGAAAGAGAAAATCATTTATCAAAATCGCCACTAAAGCAAGATTACTGTCCCATTTGTGCATCTTTGTTATGAAGCTCCACTGCATATCCACTAGGCAACTATTCAGACAACTTGAAATTAAAAAGAAAGACAATATTTAATAAGGAGTTAAGAGTCCACTACAAAGATTTTGCTGGTGATTTCAGAACTCTTTTGGTCTTGTTAAAAACATCCCAGACATATGTGTCTGAAGTCATGAAGATGAAAGGGGATTACAGAATGGGTCAATTTCAGAACAGATGGTTTCTATTGCAAATCTATATCTAGAAAAAATATATGGATTCCAGTGACTTGCAAATAACTTTTTCTATAACGGGATTCCATGACATCATAAGCTAAAGTAAAGGTAAAGGTACCCCTGCCCGTACGGGCCAGTCTTGACAGACTCTAGGGTTGTGCGCCCATCTCACTCTATAGGCCGGGGGCCAGCGCTGTCCGCAGACACTTCCGGGTCACGTGGCCAGCGTGACAAGCTGCATCTGGCGAGCCAGCGCAGCACACGGAACGCCGTTTACCTTCCCGCTAGTAAGCGGTCCCTATTTATCTACTTGCACCCGGGGATGCTTTCGAACTGCTAGGTTGGCAGGCGCTGGGACCGAGCAACGGGAGCGCACCCCGCCGCGGGGATTCGAACCACCGACCTTTCGATCGGCAAGTCCTAGGTGCTGAGGCTTTAACCCACAGCGCCACCCGCATCATAAGCTACAATGCTCCAATAGTTCTTGGCATCATGAGAGGAGCACAAAGGGCACATTTTTTTCAATTCAAACAGTTCCTGTAACAAACCCAGAGATTATGATGGCTGTTTTAAGTTTCTGCTTGGCTACAATTGTACTGTACTCCCTTCCCCCAAGTTGAGAGAGCAGCAGCAACTGCATAGCTCTCAGCTATTACATGGCAAAATAGGCTCATCTCTATCACATGCCATCTCAAAATACCCAATGCAGTTCATGCTAGGTCAACCCTTGTTGTTCACTAGTGGTATTTTAATGTCTGGATATAATAAGGTGCATCGGTTTGAACAATATTCAATACGTCAGATTTTGGTTAGAAAACTGCTGAACAGCTATTTCACATTTTTATTCCCTTATATTTCTAGTATTGTGGTATTGTGAAATTGTGCAGCTTTGCCAAAATTAAAACAAAGATAGATACCAAATTCAAACATTTATGACGGCAGCTAATAAATTTCAGTAATGACACATTTACCACTGTGGTCACATGAAAGATTACCATCCACAGCTTTGTGAATCACCAGCAACGTAAAATCTTGAGGAATTGGTTGGCTTACTGCTCATGTTATTAAAACCATTTGGAGAAACATGGGTCACGTGAACTGAAGAGGCAAATTATTTGGAACTTTCCCCTCCTCTCCTCCTTTCCTGCAGCTCCCCAAAATCTGCTGTGGAGTGTTCTCCAGAAAAGATTCCAGGGTGAGAACAGTAAGACAAAGTCCCAGTTTGCATGGAAGTCTGCTTGTACACTGAAATAATCAGATATCACTCACCATCAAATTTAATACACAAAGTTCAAATTATCCCTGCACATCTTAGAAAATACTTGCATGGGCATTTTATTTTTTTTTTATAAGATGGATGGGTGCACTGATTCCATCCTTTCCTTATCAACATACCACAGCATGTTCCAAACTCAATCTAATCTAGCTCCATATTCATGGGATTACACAAACGTTTTGGTTTTCTGTGGTCTAGCCCCAACAATGCCACTTAGTATGATGCCTTCTTTATATATGAACCAAGTAGGATATACTGTACATGTAAAAATCATTCAAAAAATTCAAGCTGATTCTGTCTTTTTCTGGCAGCAACAATGAACTGTCAGCATTTTACTAGTGAAAAATAGCAATTAATGAGATTTTTGAGAAGAAAAAGTCTCTTGACAATTTGGAATGGATGCAGAAAATGGATTATAAACCATCCTCCCCACCCCCCAAACAAAATTCCAGTTTGTCTCTAAGGAAGTCTCTTCTTTATTTTCAACTCAAAATGCTTCAAAACTCTAGAATGGTCCTTTAAAATGTGCAAGATTTAGAAGAATAAAGTAACAGATAATGATAATAATAGGAACTAAAAGAGAGGTAACGCCAATATGAAGGTCAGGAATAAGTGTCCATGGTCATCTTCAGATATTTAAAATCCTTACTTTTGATTGAAACATATGTGAACGCTGCCAAAACTCTTTGCTCTAGGCACTCCCAAACACAACTGATAGACAAAATACTGCACGTGCACTGCATCCCAAATTGATGCAATAGTAGAGCAGAGCAATAAATCGTACAGCAATAAAATCCTGTACTGAAACATTTCCATTCTCATTAAAATAGGCTACATTTGTATTAAGGAAAACTGAATACCAAGCTGGAGACTAAATTGCATGCCTTCTTTGATCTAGCTTCCTAACAAAACAAGATTTGAGATTTCTGAAGCATCTGCATGCTATGAGTCATTATTTCAACCTTTTCTGTTGAATGATAAATAAAATCCTGCAAAGAACTACTCACACAGTAAAGCCTTTTTCAACTTGAAAGGCCTACGTTATTTTGAAAGTTCTGTAAATAGAAACTGCACTCTTTAGTTTAGATCTATTTCATTTGTGTTGGCTGAATGGCATAAAGAAAGTGAAATCCACTTGGAAATCCACCATTGGTCATTTCCCAGTCTCAAGAGATTGCCAAGTCTGAAGCAATAGCAGGAAGACATGCTACAGTCCTTCAAGGCAGCCTCAATTCTGTGAGCCAGAAGAATTAGCACAACTCCTTTCCTGATTATACTTCTTAGCAAAGAAAGTTGCAGCTTCATTATGTCTTGCTACTGTGGTAGCTTTGTTGAAATAGAATCATAGATTTGGAAGGTACACCAGAGGTCATCTATAATCAACCTTCTGACAATGCAGGAAATAATAGCTGTCAACTTACAGATTTGAAAATAAGGGACCAGCAGCCTTGAAAATAAGGGACCAGCAGCCAAAATAAGGGACCTGCAGCCTCACCTGTTCCAGGCACTCCAGTCTTCCTGTCCTCCTGCAGTCTGGTCAAATTCATGCTGGTAGCTTCGAGAACACTTTGTAACCAGAGGTTCAACTGAATAGAATCTGAATCACATGCACCACAAGGCCTATGCAGCCTCAACTTAAGATGGCTCCCCGGCCTAGCTGTGCACTGCAAAGTTTGCAGCAGCACGTGCAACAAAATGGCGTCCAGCATTCAAAAACCCCCTCAGCTTGCATTAACTAGCCACACACAAGGCATGCAAGCTCCACCCCCCAGTCGTTCTTAGACTTCTTATTGGGTGAGAAACACAGCCAAGCAACACAGTTGGAGCCTCCCTCCTCCCTGGCCGGCAGGGAGGGAGGGAGAGGAGCTGCTTCCTTTGAATTTTAAGGGACATCATTTAAGGGACATCCATCAATAAGGGACAACAGCGGGACATGGCGCTGGAATAAGGGACTGTCCCTTCAAATAAGGGACACTTGACAGCTATGCAGGAAATCCACTGCTGTAGCATCCCTGATAGGTGACCATCCAGCCATCTATTAAAAAAAAGCCAAAACCAATGCAACCTCTGTTTTGTTTAAAAAGAAAAAGAAACCAATGCAAGGGAGCCCATCACCTACCAAGGCAATCCATGCCATTGTCATTCCATTTCCCCAATGTGAAACTGTTAGTTTGCATTCTACGATCTGGAGGAAGAGAAAACTAATTTCCTCTGCCATTTATGTAGCAGACAGCCTTTCAAATATTTGACTATGGCTATTATCTCTTCTCCAAGCTAAACACACCCAACTCCTTCAACTGTTCTTCATAGGGCATGATCTTCAGACCCCTCACCATCTTTGTCACCCTTCTTGCGACATGTTCCAGTTTGTTAGTGTCTTTTTTTAACTGCAGTGCTCAGACCTTGATACAGTACTCCAGGAGAGGTCTGACCAAACCAGAATAGACTGGTACCATTATTTATTATGATCTGGATGTTATTTCTTGTGATTCTGTTGAACTGCATTCACGTTTCACTTGTGGTCATCCTGTACTGTTGTCAAGTTTTGTGCCACCCATTCTATGTTTGTGCATCTTATTTTGCCTAACTAGGTGCAAAACTTTACATTAAACTCTGGTTAGAGTGTGGTGCTGCTAATACCAAGGTCGTAAGTTTGATCCCTGTATGGAAAGCTGCATATTCCTGCATTGCAGCGGGTTGGACTAGATGATCCTCAGGGTCCATTCCAACTCTATAATTCTATTATTCTAATATCATTTTTCAAATCTCTACAAATTAATTTGGGTCCGCCTGACCCACTCTAGTGATTTTTAGCTGCCTCGATTCAGTTTGTGTTTGGCACAAATAGTTACAAGTCGGCCTAATCCAGTTCATGATTTGGACAAATGTGTTGCAGAGTACCATAAAACATGCATTTTCTGGAAAAAAGATTTAGTAAAGGGTACTTTTACACATATACTCAAAAACCAAAAATTACGAACAAATCTGGTTCTTTTACCTAGAATTACAAGCTCAGAAGAATTAACTAATGTGCAATTCTTATTTAATAACTTTAAGAAACCTCTAAAGCTGGCTGAAGTTTTGAGATTGCTTCTAGTGTTCCGATTTTAAAAGCATGTAACTTTCTTAATAACTTTTCCTGCAAATGTTGGCTTTGCTGTAAGGACATGAAAATGAGCCATAAGAACTTGACTATGTACTTCAGGCCTAGAGACTATGTTTTGCAGATGTTTTCTGGTTGCCATAGTAGCTTCTGAATTTCTCTCTTTCAAGATGAAGTTGGTAACCTCGTTTTAAAAAAATGACAGGAGTCAATCTTGTAGTATGCTGCTTCCTCAGAAAAAATACTGACCAGTTAAAAATAAAAAAGCTATTTTTATTTCTCTTTTGGATGATAACATAACCAGATATCCAGTGTTAGTATTAACATATACATAATCTTAAAAAGCCAGACCATGACATTTTACACAAGCCAAAATGAGTGCTTCAAATGTGCCAAAAATTCTTTCTTTCCAGGTGCCAGAAATCAAAAGCCTTTTTGCCTTGTGTTTGAAAATTTCCCACTGAAATTTTTTTTGCTGCTCTGAAGTTGTCTTACAGTTTTAAGCAAAAGAGCTCTTTTCACTAGTGAACTGAAAGGTTTCATACCCTTGTTAATAATGCCCATCGTTGCCTTTAGAAGTCTTTTTCTGAGTCTTTGTGGATATATACATCATGCCATGAAGATCTATCACAGTCATACTCATATACCATATGTGTGAACTTGATGTGGACGTGTTATCTCATTCCTTTTTCCTCACTTCCTGGCTTCACTCACAGCTCTTCTCATAACACAATGTAGTCTACTATCACCATATGGTAATGACCATATCGAAATGGATTGAATGAAGAAGTCTAGCGTCTGCTCAGATCTCCTCAAGCCTCAAAATCATACTTGCCCAATTCACATTGGTCTATGATCCAAGCATGCACTCAATTTTCCATACAACACAGTTTGTATGGATCTCATGCAATATACCATCAATTCAGATTTATTATCATGTTGAGTTGGCTTCAGGCACCAGGCCCGTTGGCAGACCAACTCTGTGTTACAAAGATGTCTCACTGTGTGAGAATCCTTTGCAGATGACCACAGTGCCTAGAGACAGACAGACATGTAATGTATCCATAGCAGTAACCAGAAGAGGAATGACCACTAGGAGGATCACAGAGAGAAGAAATGCCATGCTGCATCTGCAGCAGCATAATCAGACACCTACATCTGCCCCAGCTGCAACAAAACATGTCTCTCCCATATCGGTCTCTACAGCCACAGCAGGCACAGCAACTTTCCAGCAGTTTGGTTTCACCCCCAAAGGCACACTTCTCCATTGTTGACCATATAACACTAGTAATAACACAATTACACTGTCTGCCGATACATTTCGAGGCCCAATATAAGCTGCAGGTTTTAACATATAAACCCTTAAGCGGCTTGGAGCCACAAAAAATGACTGACTGCCTTTCCCAACAAGAATACATCCAGACTATGTTCATCCAGACCTTACAAATGTCTTCTGGGGCCCTTCCCCTGGAAGCCCTACCCCTGAGAGATGCTCAAGAGAAAGTGCCTTTTTGGTTGTGGCTGTCTGCCTATGGAATGCTTTCCCAAGTGAGGCTCACCTGGTGCCAACACTGACATCTTATCGGCACCAGGTGAAGATTTTCCTCTTCATCTGGGCATTTGATGGAATTTGAAAAGTTTCTAAAGTTGATTGTAAATTACTTGAAGTCTTGTGTTAAATGACTTACAAAAGAGAAGAAATAAAGATACTAAGTCTTTTGAGTTCAACAAGAGGATAATTGAACTGTTTACAGCCAAAGATTCTCACCTCTGCAATCATCCTGTTAGTGTCTCCTAAGAAAAGAAGGTTCAGTGCTTCCTCCTCATTGGTTGCTTGCTGCAAAGAGAGATGTTTCAGATGAATGTTCTGATCAGGATCTTCCATTATTGTCACCTTTCTAGAAGATGAAGAAGAAGAAGAGGAGGAGGAGGAGTTTGGATTTGATATCCTGCTTTATCATTACCCTAAGGAGCCTCAAAGCGGCTAACAATCTCCTTTTCCTTCCTCCCCCACAACAAACACTCTGTGAGGAGAGTGAGGCGGAGAGACTCCACTGCTCTTAACCACTACACCACACTGGCTCTACAATACAATAAAATTAAAAAAACACCAAGATTTAAGTAAAGCTTAATGTCAGCATTTGGGACACAAAATATATTGCAGCCCTTTTAAAGAATCCATAGTGTATTTTATGAATAAATAAATGCACAGATATCCTGTATTTATGTTTTCCCCCCTGAACATAGAATCTTAGAGCTGGAAGGGACACAAGGGTCATCGAGCCCAACCCCCCGCAATGAAGGACTCTCAGTTAAAGCAACCCTCAGGTTGTGTCTCTCAGCGAAAAGAAATTTCCCAGGTGCTCATATCAGAACTACCAAAAAAAACCCAGTGCAACCCTGCAGTTAATATTTGCACCTTGAGACAGGCCCATGAAACATTTCATAGGCAATGTGGTGATGGTTTTCCCCACCCTCAGAATACATCCTTTCATTTCCCCCTTTATCTTTGATTTTATTTCCTTTCTTCCACTTAAAGACTGGCCCTAATTCAAGAACGACAGGCTACAGCATAAAACATGAACTAATAAGGAACGTGGCACAATTATAATGTACAAGCTAAAAAAATTCTTGGGACAGTTCTAATAATAGAGCAGGCAATATCCTATTAGTAACTGGCCTTGTTACATCACTGCCCCCTGCAAAAATAAAAAATGCTGATCAAAGAGGCATGCCTTCAGCTGACACCTAAAGCTAAACATGTACCTCAGTTGTCGGTACCTCAGAAGTGAGTTTGTACCTGAGTCAGAAGAGAGGGCAGTCCATTAATGGGATGCCACCACTGAGAAGGCTCTATCCCATTTTACTTGACCAGGGGGGGAAAGAAGGGCCTTCACCACACAGATGTTCCTTTCAGCATTTGGGCCCCAAGATGCTTAGGGTTTTATGTCAACTTAACAAAGAGAAAACTTGATGGTTGTGGAACTTGTAGACCTCATCTAGACCTGAGATTGTGCATGACTGTGTGTGTGCCTTACCAAAACAAGTCCTCATATGTTAGGTTTTCTTACTAGCTTGGCTGATGCAACCAAAGAATTTGTACAGTACAACTTGGCTAATTCTGTTTTATGCATATTCCACCCAGCTTTAAAGAAGTCTACAAATTCCATCTACTTAGCCAAATGAAAACATTCTTTGTTTATAGAAAAAACAAAAATCCTGCTTCTGCCTCCTCTCCATCATTATGGATAAGTTAGCAGTACTTTTCCATATCAAGGTCCAAGTTAGGACTAATTCTTATGGATTTTAAACATTTCTACCTGTATTGGAGGAATGGAGACAACTTTATATAGATATAAAGCTAGCAGCAGCAACTTGAATTATGAGAAACAATATACTGAACAGTATTAATAGTTTCCTCTATCACTTCTTTTCTTTTCTTTTTTTCTTTTTTGAGAGGGACAGTTTGACACTGGAAACCACTGACATAACACTATCTAATCAAACTCATATATTTTTCTGCCACTATGGAAAAAGTTGTACCGGTACCTATTGGTAAAAAAAAAAGCCAGAATGAGACAGTGTGCAAAAATCCAAGTGTCCAGTAGGAATATTTGTCAGGTCTAATTTTCTTAACTGCCAATGGTGATCAGAAATCTCTATTTTTGCAGCCCTTTTCAAATCACAGATATTCTTTGTTTTAGATGTGTCTGTGAAAAAATGACATCTCTGTAAATTCAGAACTATTTTCACAATCCACAGCAACCCCTATTAAATACACATTTTAACTCAATTGTTCCCACTAAATGAATGTGATCCAACATAATGCTAAACTGACACATTTACTTTCTAAAAGGTATGGGAAAGGAAATACATTAAGAATAACCACACCTAAATCTGAAAGCACTTGTGGGTTTTAAAAAAGAAAAATGTAATTGTGCATCTAATGAAGGCTGGAATTTTTTTGAAATATATATATGAAAAGATTTGTGATTTTAAAAAAATGTTTCACTCACGGCAAATCTTCTAGTTTGGAGGCTTCATGTCGTGGGTCCAACAGATCATAACCACACTCATTATAAATTTCTAAGTAGGAAATATGTGTTGTGTATACTTTGCTGCTATCCTGAATTGGAAGAAAAATAAAAAGATGGGATCAATAGTTATCTAAAAACCTAGGATACACTGACAGTACATATTAGGTGTTATTTACCTTCTTACAGTATGTCCTTCTTTGAAAGGTTTACACACATTATTAGAAGGCGGTTTCCCCCCCCCCATATTTTTAATTATAATGTTCCATTATAAGCATTTTGGCATACTGAGAAAGACAGTAATAAAATTAAAACATGGTAAGACTATAATAAAAGAGCAACAGCAGTACAATTGGTTACTTATTAACCTTCCTCAAAATATGTTATCACATTTATTTAATGGTTCCATACTTGTACAAATATACACGTTCCATGTTTCTGTGACCAGATCTGTCTGCATTCTCCTCGTTAATTGCTTTGTTGGCTCAGACAATCTGAAAACTGATGGGGAGCAGAAAATAATAGTCTGCTGAGAACCTACAATCTTTCATTTGGGAGGGAACCCAAGAAAGGAATCTTCCCCTTTGGACCCCCATGGGGAACAGCATCACTTCTCACTGCTTGAGGTAGGTATTGGTATTGGTGTGACATCAACGACCAGCCCCCCGATCTCCATGTGCATCTCTGAACCTTCAGACTAAAGAAATGGCACAGAATTGCCATTGTTAATAGGTCTGAAAGCAAAGGGTCAAGAATTAATGTGAGCTTACAGAGATCAGCAACAAGCAGCACAGCATTACCAATGATGGACAAGGATCAATGAAAGACAGCTGGCTGTCCATTACCAATGCTTCTTTGCAATGTGCAGCCTCAAGCGAATACCGGTTGTGCTCTAAATTGTGCCCATCAGTTCATGTAGGACAGTGGAGAGCCCAATAGGCCTGGCAGTGCCTCACAGACACTAATATACATCCTAGATTGCACCATACTTATTTGCAACTTGTAGAGGTTCCCTGGCAGAATGTCAATGTGGAAAGGGTTCTCTGAATGTACAAAGCCTGAAAACAACACATTTTGCCCCTTTCTTTGGGTATGGAATATGCTCCTATCAACCAAGGATGACTTACTGAGGTGGTGAGTTATTTTCTATTTTACTAGGCTGCCCATTGTAGGAAGACATGGAAGGCTATGGATATTACAAATATTTGGGCAGGACAACTCACTGTTACTGTTTCCCCCTTCCCCAAGGCCCACCATGGATTACGAATTACAAGGGGCAGCACCTCTCCAAAGCTACACATTTTCCACTCCCACCATGCCACCAAAATGCCATAGTTGGTGTTTCCACAAACATACACAAAAACTGGGCTCGGAGGTGTAAGAGAGAAATGTGTATCAATCTCAGTGATTCCTTGAGTGTCTTTAGACTGAGCTTTGCATTCTGAGTACCTTGGATTTAACATAGTTCCTTCAAGATAATCCACATTTCAGTAAATTTACAGTAATAAGCTTTCCACTAGCTGTTTCTAACACAGCAAGGTAAAAGGGGGGAGCGGATGGCGCTGTGATCTAAACCACTGAGGATCTTGGGCTTGCCGATCAGAAGGTCGGCGGTTCGAATCCCTGCAATGCGGTGAACTCCCATTGCTCTGTCCCAGCTCCTGCCAACCTAGCAGTTTGAAAGCACACCAGTGCACATAGGTAGTGCTGTGGTGGGAACGTAAACGGCATTTCTGTGCACTCTGGTTTCCGTCACGGTGTTCCATTGTGCCAGTAGCGGTTTAGTCATGCTGGCCACATGACCCAGAAAGCTGTCTGCGGACAAATGCCGGCTCCCTCGGCCTGAAAGTGAGATGAGCGCCACAACCCCAGAGTCACCTTTGACTGGAATTAACCATTCAGGGGTCCTTTACCTTTTACCTCTACCTAACACAGCAGTTAGAAGAAAACTGAGCTGGAAGTTGCATGCAGCTCTAAAGGTATGCACATATGCTAGGACCTCCAACCAGGAAGAGATGGGAAAGTGCCAGCTCCCTGCCTAATGTGCAAGAATATACTGAATCTAGCTTTGCCTAGCTAGAGATCCCATATGTGGCACCACAGACCACGAAGACCCATTCCAGTACTAAACTGAGGCAATCCAGTAAGTGAATTTTTTCCTTTTAAAAAATTCTAACCTTTTAAACCCACTTATGTATATATTCAGACTAGTTCTATGCCACCTTTCTGCCAAACAGAGATACTGATCAAGGCTTATAAACCAAAAACTCTTAACTCAATTGCAACTTGGATGAACAAGCAGTAATAGTAAATAATATCCAAGAGTTGCAACTCAGAAGGACATAAATGTTCCACTTTGGCTTTGCCTCTATTGGTTAATGAGGTGATACAACTGATATTTCAACATATAAACAGAATTTCATTTTCTCTTTTGTGGAATATGGCAAAATACCAAGGTCCTTTCATTTCCTGTTGCAGAAGAATTATTCTCAGACTGTCACATCCTATTTGACAAGAATACTAACCTCTTCATTAACTTATCAGTTCTCAATCAGTTTAATAAAGTTTCCATAGTGCTTTGTTCCCTAGATCCGATTAACAAAATCCTTTACTTCAAGTTTCATCTTGTTTGAGGGAGTATAACACTAAGCTCAAACCTGTATTCCAACTATTACTAAGAAAAAATACTAAATGCAAAGCAGATTGCTACTCCGAATGATAGGGCCACTGCAGACGTACTCTCAGCCATGGTTAAGAGAGCACGAGGAAGCCACATAATTACATGCTCCTTTTAGCCATTTTAGGAAAAAAAACGGCAACTGAATTAGTCGAAGGATGCAGAAATATCTAAATTATACAAGGAATCCAAAGGAACAGGTGCAATAAACTAAAGTAAAATTGGGCATTTCACAGTAACTAACCTCTAATCCTAAATATATTCATATGGAAGTAAGGTCGCATTAATAATAACAGGATTTACTTCCATTTTAGAGGATTTAGGAACACAGAACACTGTATCTCATAATTCAGCCATGTCTGTAACCAGCATAGCAATGAACATTCACCAGCAGCGCCACCTGTGGAGCAGCTGTAAGCTGTGTCCTATGAATGGCATTCACCCTTCAAGGTCTTTGATGGGATCTTGTTAACTAGTCCTTTTGGTCCAGATAGCATTTTTAACAGATCTAAAAATGTTAAATTCAAAACAGATGGGAAAGAGTCTCTTGAGAAAAATACATTTCTGCACAAAATATTTTAATTGCATTTTTACTGTTCACAGACTTACCTGGTTCATGTGGTCTGCAGGTGCAGTTACACAAAGAAAGTTGCCTAATATTTATCCTTTCTTTGCTCAGACAAAATAAATGAAAAAACCTCTTGCATATCATTCATAAGTATTTCAAATCTTTATTGAACAATAAAAAAGGCCCACAAAAATCAGGGAGAATTTTGGACATTTCTGTCTCCAAATACTTACACTTCAGCAATAATGTTTTAATACATTTTTAAGACAGACTGCGTATCTGGTTCTGAACCAGTCTTCTACAGAATCTAAATCAGTTTATCGTGAATGGTTTGAAAATATATCTCCAAGGACTGATATCTCAGCCTTATTGAGGATTTAATGACTAAATGAACCCTGGCAGAAAAACCAAGAAGTTAAAAATGAAATAAAAACATATTTAACATCTTAAAACTAATTAAAAGTATCTAAAAATTAAGAACATTTAAAAACTTTTAATAACAATTGCATAACATCCCCACACAGATAATAATTTCAAGGCAACCAGATTTCATGATAAAATCAGTATTTCTTTCCTCAGCTATATCATTATATTTAGTTAATGAATCGTTTTAAAGAAAAATGATCAGAGAGAATGACCTGTACCTTCTGCAACTGCTGAAATATGTAAGATAGTGTCCGTGGAATTATGCCCCTATCACTGTAACGTTCTGCTCCTCCTGTTATGGTAAAGGTCTTGCCGCTGCCCGTCTGTCCGTAAGCAAATATGGTGCCATTATAGCCAGCTAGAGCACTGAAAGTGGAGGAATAAATATGTTATCTATGGAATATAAACATTGGTTTATAAATCTTCACTCTCTGATTAGTGTAGCCATGGAAATCTTTGCTGGCATGACTGGATATTCCTTACATCTTTTAAGATGAAAAATAATGTCAACCTTTTTCAAGCAATTTCCCTTAATTTAACACATTTTTGAATGCTTTCGTGAATATATGCATTTTTATACACACTTACCCCAATGTATGCAATTTTGTACGCGTTACTTGGCTGGAGAACTGCACAGCAAAATTCAAAGAAGTGCAAATTTTGAAGGTGGGCTATGCTTTGATTCCCACATTGTCCTGCAAAGTGTGAATTTGGTAGCTTCACCTTTAAATGTGAACTGAAGCAAACCCCCCTCAAACCCCATACAGTGTCATTTTTAGCAGTAGCAAACTGTATGGGGGAAAAGATGGCTGCCCCCATCTTCTTGAAGCCATTTTTACATTTAAACAGGTTTTTAAAAGTAGAATGGAATAAGAAACTCTTTAGAGAACCTTGCAATTGATTCCTCCCTCCTAGGTAAAAAAACCCAAAAACCTTATTACTACCCGGCAAACATCACTGATTAACCCCCTTCCAACTGTCAGTGGGGAAATTTCCAAAGAAGGAGAGGGATCCCTTTTCACAGTCCGTATTTTATACTAGCTTTTGAGTACACTGTTTTAGAAGAAACCAATCACCATTTCCAATTTCACAAAAATAAAGTTCTAAATGCAGAAGACAGAGATCAGTGCAAAATGTAGCCAGAGGTTGCAAAAAGGTATCCTACATACCTTCTCCGATAATTCACATATATAAAGATTTTTCTTGGGTAGCAATGCACATACAGAGTCTTTGTTTTCAAGTCACATTCAAAGTGAGACATTACTGTTGTAAGCAATATGTGGCTGGGGGAAAGAGAAGTGGGAAGAGGGAAAATAGTAAAGTTTCATTATTTTACATAGTACAGTGGTACCTCGGGTTAAGTACTTAATTCGTTCTGGAGGTCTGTTCTTAACCTGAAACTGTTCTTAACCTGAAGCACCACTTTAGCTAATGGGGTCTCCCACTGCTGCCGCGCCGCTGCTGCGCGATTTCTGTTCTCATCCTGAAGCAAAGTTCTTAACCCGAGGTACTATTTCTGGGTTAGCGGAGTCTGTAGTCTGAAGCGTATGTAACCTGAGGTACCACTATATATGAAGGAAGCTTTTATGCCAGCATCAAGTGAATCGCTACTTTTTGTTGGCAATGTGAGAGACCAGAGGGCCCAGGGAGTGGTTTGCAGTGTGTGTTGCTGGATGAGATAAACCAGGCATCCCCAACCTGCAGCCCTCCAGATGTTTTGGCCTACAACTCCCATGATCCCCAGCTAACAGGACCAGTGGTCAGGCATGATGGGAATTGTAGTCCAAAACATCTGGAAGGCCGAAGGTTGGGGGTGCCTGAGATAAACCATATCAACTGTATGCTGTCTCGGGGGTGGGGGGGTTGATCCCTGTCTTGTTGACTTGCATATGTAATGATGAATTATGGCTTCTCCCATAATTATATCATATTCCTGACATCATATCAATGGAAACATTTCAGCTTGATGAAGTAATCATTCTCTTGATAAGACTTACTAGTTTTCAAAAGAAGATTGTATTTGGTTTGTTCAGCTCAAATACTCAACATATGTTATGTAAAAGAAGAGGGGGGAAGTATTTTTGTGCACTCTGTTTATGAGTAAAGTTATAAATAAGCCATGCTAAAAAAAAGAGAGCAAAACCTTCCTTTTCTTCCCTAGGAGGATGGGGCCATGTGTAGGTCAACAGTGAGTCTGGTGCCATAAGAGAGGCAAAAGGCCTCCAACTCATTTATCTGGAAGCCTAAGCATTTGCCAGATGGCTCAGCGTAATCTACAATAGCAAAATGTCAAAGAAAAGAACACAATAAGATGCCAAAGAAAGCCAGTATCTGCTGAAAACAAAAATACCAGAATTCTCATAAGTATTTGTTTTCTGCCTCGTTATTAGGCATATATTCCACCTTTGTTTCAAAAAGAAGTTATGGGGGTGTGTGTTCTATGTTATATCATGTTGTCAGAGTGAAACAGTTGTTTGTCCACTTTTAGATTAGCAGAATATTTTCAAACTTTGTAGCATTGCACTGAAACTGGGCAATTCTTGAGTGATCAGTTTCTTGGGCTTGGTCCTCACATTCTCACAACTTCTTACTCTGTCTTGCTGTAATTCAACGCTTCCGCAGTTTACTACACCAGATTTTCATTTGTTTGTTACATCTAAAGTGCAAAACGATAATTTAATCTCAGTTTACAAAATGTGATATGAAAGCTGGCTCCGCTTAAACTAGGATACGACTCTGTAGCCACATTTTGAACTGTCAAAGTTTCTGGACTATCTTCGATATTTGCTCCAAGATGAACTACAATCATTCAAGATGGAACTGAGATTGAGGATAGGTACATATTCTCCAGGGAAGAGCATATGTGGCATACTAGTTGAAGCTAGTAAAGGGTTCTTGTGGGCACTACCACTACCTGAGTATCCAAGAGCAGGGATAGTTCCAGGAATACTCCCAAACTGTATATCAGCCGAGTCAATGAAAGTGTAACCCTGCACAGAACAGGTTGTACATCTATTCCAATGTCAGGTTTAAACTTGCCTGGATGGAGCTTCAGTTTATTCACCCTCATCATGTCCAAATTGCCCAAAATGAAAGTCATTCCCGCATGGTATGGAACAATACCAAGAAGATGTTCTGAGACTGGAGGGGGAAGAGTTTCTGTTTTGTATAAAATGATATTTGTCTAGTTAAGCTGGGCGGGGAATAATGGTGGTGGTGATGATGCTGCCAGCAAAACTTAAAAATCCAGCCAATTGCCATCACAAGAAGATATGGATTAGGACAGTGATGGCCAAACTTGGCCCTCCAGCTGTTTTGGGACTACAACTCCCATCATCCCTAGCTAACAGGACCAGTGGTCAGGGATGATGGGAACTGTAGTCCCAGTATAGCTGGATGGCCATCACTGGATTAGGAGAAGAAAGAGTTGAGGAACTAGCAAAAGGAGAGTTGGGTAGAGAAAGAATGCTAGGCAACCACTTGCAGAGTGCCACTTGTTCTGCAGATGCCCTTTTGGGAAGTTACAATGTGACTAGAGACTGGAATGCTTTTCTCTTAGGTAGTTGAACTTTAAAATGGTTACAGAATTGCTTTATTTAGTTAATTATATCTGTATCTCAAACAGAAACACATCTAAGACATAATCTAAAAAAAGTAACCATGCTAAAATGGACTGTAGCAAGTTTTTGTCATGTGCTACAAAGTTTCATAGTAAGGCATTCATGAATTTGTGACAGGGTAGCATGTTGTACAGATATATAAAAGATTGTTACATTTCTCTCCCTAGATTCAGGAGAGGCATGTTACTTTGGCAATATAAAGCTAACTGAGTAATCCTTCATGGACCAAATCTGATTTCAACAGACTTAAAAGAAATGAGGGAATTCTGATTGGGGAACACAAAGACTTCGAAGTACTGAGTTAAAATAATCAAGTTAAAAATACAGTGGTACCTCGGGTTACATACGCTTCAGGTTATATACGGTTCAGGTTACAGACTCCGCTAACCCAGAAATAGTGCTTCAGGTTAAGAACTTTGCTTCAGGATGAGAACAGAAATCGGGCTCCGGCAGCACGGCAGCACGAGGAGGCCCCAATGGCTAAAGTGCTGCTTCAGGTTAAGAACAGTTTCAGGTTAAGTACGGACCTCTGGAACAAATTAAGTACTTAACCCGAGGTACCACTGTAAATGGTAAAAATTGCCACTTTATAAGAGAGGCCTTGAATGGGTAAATAGGGCCTTTGGACCAAAAGAATCTTAACTGCTCCTACATTATATACAGTCCTGCATTAGCCATTAAATGAGGTGGTCCTTCAATAACTATGGAACGAGATGAAACAGAGGAAAAGCACAAAGGTAGATACTGTGGAACCTTGGTTCTCGAACTTAATGAGTTCCGGGAGTCCATTTGACTCCCGAAATGGTTCGCAAACCAAGGCACGGCTTCCAATTGGCTGCAGGAGCTTCCTGCAGTCAAGTGGAAGCCTCATCGGACGTTCGGCTTCTGAAAAATTTTCACAAACCAGAACACTAACTTCTGGGTTTGCAGCATTGAGGAGCCAAAACGTGCGAGTACCAAGGTGTTCGAGAACCAAGGTACAACTGTACATACAAACTTTATTTTTCACTCAAGAACTAATCAAGTCTTGAAGTGTTTTGAGCTTTTTTTCAGGGAGCTTTTTTATTTTTGGCTAAAAATAAACTGGAGATCAAAGTATGTAAAATACATGCTGATGAAAGTTGTCAACTATTAATATTTCAGTCACACCCCTTCTCTAAACTATTTTTCTGGCATCTTTGTACTTCCATTCTATCCATCATAGACACCCTTTAGAACCAGAGTGAAATATGGCATAGTACTGACTAATTCAACTTTCAAGTAGTAATGCTTATGAGAAACATAAAGTTTACCATCATTTTAAAGTTTTGAGACAGATGTTTTCAAGGAGATACATTTAAATATCCTTCCTCATTTGGAGATAAAAGTTATTTTCATTAAAATAAACAAAATATCTCATTATTACATCTTTTGTCTCCCTGCCAAATCTGTAGTATAAACCCTGTTTAGCAATGCTATTCATTTCATGGATATGTGCAATTCTTTATATATACACTTAGCAGCATGGATTTTTTTCAGTGCAAATACATACTGCATACATTTTTTCCACAAAAGCTGACAGAAATTGGCCTGAAAAAGATGTGCAGTGTTTATAATTTAAGCAGTTTACATTAATTTGAATGCTTGGGCAATCTGGATTTTGTGTCAAAATAAATCTTAAAAGATACTATGCCTTATAATAGCAGTTTGAGGGAAAACATAGTAATCCTTGATACAATTTCAGATCTGTGGCTCCATAGTTGAGTG